GAAAAAAAAGCTCATTTCCCCTGAGAATTCATACTAAATGACAAAACAATCCATCACACACTCCTCTGGATTTTTCCAGGTGACTCCCACCATAGATTCAATCTGCTCTTTTTTTCCATCCTATCTGCAGCTCACAATGAAAAGCTACTGTTGCATTTGCTGCCGATCAAGCAGAAAATGCCATCAGGACTTATGGTGGATAATGACACCTTGTCTATCCATTGTGTCAGTGATAGATGACCTTTCTATCTTTAGAGACTCCCCGCCTGGCACTTGTGCTGCAGCCGCACTCCACTGTTTCTAATCTTAGCCACTGACACTGTTCAATAATGCATCTCCCCATGCACGCCCTTCTCTCCACAAATGTGTTGTCGGGGAGTTATAATGGCAGAAATAATGGGGGGAGGAGCAGGTGGGAGCCCTGCTACTGTACTTGAAAAAGAAAGAAAGCTGGGAATGGCCAATTTTGTCTCCTTGTGGAGTTGGCAGCTGAAATCAAAGACTGAAAGTCTCTGACACCCACACGTTGGCTTTTTTTCCCTTTTGTTTGGATTTTTCATTCCTCCCTTGGCTGGCGTAGTTAGACTTTCTATTCTATCTCGGTTCATTACAGAACATCCCGAGTGGGAAATGGAAACCCTTATGCCAACAGGCGTTTTTGCGTCATCATGGTATTCTGGGGATACCTTTCAAACCCTTATTTCAGCAATTAAACCCGGATGTAGAGAGCAGTGGGTGAGAAACTGGTGCAATGAGTCAATGTTTTTTTCCTGTTGTGATATTCTCGGTTATCCCAAATAAACCATCTCGGTCACCTGAGACAGAAGATGGTTGGAGAGCAACAAGGTTTTTGTGATTCATTTGGCACACAAAGAAAAAAAAATCTGTCTTTGTTACCAAAATAGTGTTTCTATTGACAGCGACCTTTGGTTTATTCAGCTCACCGACATAGACGAAAAAAGGAGGTGGTCTAAAAATAGCCCCAGATTCTCTGTAAAGCACACAGCTCTGTGTGTTATAGTGAAATTCCCATTAGTGTGTTGCTAGGGAGAAGTGAGAATTTCTGCGGGAGGACTCTATTGTCTCAAAGATACCAAGTGTTGTTGCTAAGCAACTCGGCGACCAGGTCAATAATACAGTGGATGGTCATATTCGCTGGGGCTTTGAAAGTGATTTTCTCTTTCATCTGTTTAAAATGTAATACTGTAAGAGCTCTGGGAGCACTTTGTATCTCAGTTTATCGAAGAGTCGTGAAGCCAAAGAGCGGTCGTGTTGGTGCTGTTCCCCACCTAATGAGATTTTACAATAGTAGAAAAAAAACACCCCCGATTTGATCAAAAACTACTAAAGGGTCCCCCTGTTCTTCACTTTTAATCTTATTTCTCAGAAGAGAGTTTGCTTGGGGAATCAAACTATTGAATTATTCCTCGTGCTATTTCTGGACGTCTAGTCAAACGAGTGTTATTTAACAGATTGATTGCTGGGCTGTACTCATTACTGTTTAGATACATACAACTGTGCAGCCAGCTTTCTTTCCACTGCCAGTGTTGCTTCACTTATGTAGAGATGTAGAAAGCAAACCTTTAGACACATGCTTATAACATAATGCAGTAGAGTACTGATGCCTGTTTAAATGCTGGCATCTGTTGTGACAAAAATGTGGTTTTAGTCCTACTTAAATGGTATTAACAGGGTTTAAAGGACTAAAGTGATTTTATGAGCTATTCAGTGCCCATTGTGGCACACACACATCGGGCCACCTGCTTTGCGGGTGACCTAACTTTGATCTTTTACAGGACAGAACTATAAAGTGGCCGGTGTTATCTCGGGTAAAGGGGATAAAGAGAGCCCTGCTGTGTGGCGGCATTCTCCACTCTCTGTCCTTTCCACCTCTGGAGGTGTGCTGTGGGGTGTGCCACATGCTGTCTGGAGCCAAGCCCTGTTGTGCAGCTCACATTTATTATTTATAGAAAGTATGAATAGTTCACACGCACAGGGGACTCCAGGAAAACATTGGATTTTGGAGACCTTTGGGACGCTTTGATGGCAAGGGAACGTGACAGCTTGAAATAAATGTGTAATCTGAATGTTCAAACACGGCTGTCATAGTAAAGAAGAGATAGGACAGATGGTATTAGATCATAAAATAGGCAACGGTATTTTGAATCTATCAAGTGTAATATTCCTTGTTTGAAATTTTTTTTCCTTTGAATATGGGTCTTTTGAATGACTAAAAATAAAATCAAGTGGTTCAACAACGTGGGTTAAATGACTGTGCCAGTAGCCCAGTGTGCATCAGGAGGAGGTTGGGGATGCCGTGAGTGGGAGCCCATTAGACTCCGCCTCCCATAGATTATGCATGCAGTAACCAGGGAAACTAGGGGAGTCGCTCCCCAGCAGCCAGTCACGACCCACTTCAAAAGCGCCTGTAGTCTGTGGCGGGTAGTAGAGGAGTGCCTGTGCTGCTGCTGCGGTGTACAGTAAACGCAATCCGGCGGCTGCACCTGACATGCAGCATCCTGAGACCGACAAATAATTTGGTGGAGAGTTCTCAAACAGGAGGATCGAGCTTCTTCCGACTATTCCAGATGTGGGGAGCGCCTCTGACGAAACACCATAGCCGCGGTTTGGATGCGAGATGGAGACATAGGGGATTCCTCTCGAGAACGCGCACAGTGAAGAAACTACAGCCGGTGTAAAGAAAGGATAGGACAGGGACAGCTCAAGTCACAATGGTTCAAAACGTGGTCTTGGTGTTTCTCCGCAGGAGGCTGAGCCAGAGACCGAATGTGGAGGAGCTGGAGAGTCGGAACATCTTGAAACGTAAGTTCAAACACTCCCATTTCTTTTTTTTTTTCAAAACTTTCTAATAATATTTATAAGAAAAATATTGTTAGTATATTAAAACAAAGCCCTGACCAAAAATACCTAAAACAGGGCAAGATGATGCATTAATAATAGCACAGATTGCCAAGTGTAGTACATTATTCAGAAGCCAAAGAACGCATGAGTGCACACTGTAAAGCCTGGTAAAGCTGGCAGGAACTGAATTTGCACAGAGTCAAGGCATGATAAACTTGCTATGGCTTACATAGATTTATAGATTTAACATCAGTTTAATTACACAATGGCTGATGAATGTACTCTAATTAAGCATTTAAATAAAATAACACCCTGTAGTGTCTCCAATGTGTGTTTTTAGAGTAATTACTTGCTGATGTGGTATGAATTTCTAATTTGGCTGTTTTCTTTTTCCCAGAGAGAAACGACCAGACAGAGCAAGAGGAGAGGAGAGAGATCAAACAGCGGCTAAACAGAAAGGTACAACCCTCTGTGACCAAGTAGTTTCCATATATTTGGAAGCATTTGTTTTAGATAACTAACAGCAAAACAATATCAACCAAGTTTTGTACACATGAAGCGTGTGGAAAAGCATCCGGCTGTAAATGTTTGTCCCAATGTCTTGTGTGTTCCAGCTCAACCAGCGGCCCACAGTAGATGAACTAAGAGACAGAAAGATTCTGATCCGCTTCAGTGACTACGTGGAGGTGGCCAAAGCTCAGGACTATGACAGGAGAGCAGACAAGCCCTGGACTCGGCTCTCAGCAGCGGACAAGGTGTGTGTTTGTGTGGAACGCGGAGAGACAGTATGGATATAATACACTGTATAATATTAGACAGTTAAGAAAGATGTTTCGTCCTATCACTTGGTCTCATCACCAAAACAGGTTCACTATTTAGGCCAGTCTGATTCCAAAATTCTTCAAATTCCATGACCTATTGGCTCATCAAGACTATCTGCATTGCATGTTGCTGTTATCAGCTTATCTTACCAAATCCCCAGTTCTCTTTATTTTTTTAGGCTGATAATATTTTCTCTTCCTCTTGCTGCCACTTTGCTGTTCAAAGGTTGCAGCACCCCAATGGCTCAGGATGTACTTAGGGATCCACTAATGTTGTTTTTCCTCTTTCCCCCCTCACAGGCCGCAATCCGAAAAGAGCTGAACGAGTTTAAAAGCACTGAGATGGAAGTTCATGCCTCAAGCAAACACCTAACGAGGTCAGTATTCAGAAGCCCATGTCTGTCTGTGTATGTTTGGGAATGTATGTTTGCTCTATTCTGGGCAGCAGCGGTCTATATTTAGCTCTCCTTGCTCATCCAGAGAGCGCTGAGGAGCTAAAGATAGATGGAGTGCTTCTAAACGGGGGGGTGTTTAGGGGTGGTTGTCCTCTGGAGAGCTCATACTGCCAAGCAGGGAGAAATGATATAATGCCACAGTGTCCTTGGATAAGCCTGTTTAGAAAGCAGAGGGGTCCTTGTTGTGAGTTGTAACAGTGACCCAGAGGGAGGATGGGATGCGAGTACGTGTCCAGACTCTTGGCGCATTTAATGGCTGTGCTAAAAATAGCCCCACGATGCTGATTAATAGCTCCGATCATAGCTGTTTACAATGACAAAGGCACCCTCTGCTCTCACAGTTCGTACATTTCCCCTTTTACAAACGGTCTCTCTGCATGTTTGTCTCTCCAGGTTCCACCGGCCGTGAAAGCATTGAGTTTCTTCTGTGAAGAAATGCTGAGCGTGGACATTTTCTGAAGCTGCTACAAAGCTGCTCAGCGGTGACAGTTCAAAGAGCCTGGAGCCTTTTCATCTTCAGCGCATCTTTAACATTCTTCCAGCACCCTTGACCATCGTATCGCCAGTGTGAGGGCATGGGTGTAGGAGAGAAGATGGCGGTAAATGTTTGCGGCAGTGTGTCCTGGAGACTACTGAATGTCGCTACATGGAGGCTGGCTGGTGGAAGAGGACTTTGGTGGAGCCTCTCGACTCTCAGGATGAGAGCGGAGGGAAAAAAACAATCTTGTCATTCAGTCAGTGTTGGGTTTTTTTTGTACTATTTCATGGACTCCTGTGACAAGGCGGCGTGAATCCGTGTAGTGGGAGGAAGTTGTGCATGTGACCAGCTTCACCTTTTCTTAACTGATGAATAATGTGTCACTTGGACTGTGTAAAGACTGTGCAGTCTGGGGGAGGTGGTATTGGGGATGAATTTGATATTAACTGTACATACAGTATGTCAATCTGAATGAGGCCGTCAATGTCTTCACTGAAAAGAGAAATACCTTTGTAAGCACTACTTGTCTTCAAAATACAAGGTCTTTTTTAAGAATGGCTTATCTCTTTTTTCAAACTGTTTATTTTCAATCAAGACTAATGTTGAATCGGTATTTAAAGGCAAATGATAGATTTAACATTTTATATATTTAGTTTTTCAGTACCTAACTAACCTACATGAATAAATCAGAAAGGTTTATTAAAAAAATCACAGAGCATCAAAGACATCAAAAAGATTACCTGTACTTACTTTTAAAGAACACTAAAACTTATTGAATTAATACATTTAATAAAATAATAAATATGGAATAATGTAACAATTCTCATAAAACATACATGTAGCAACAACACTAGGTCAGAATAAACCATTCACATTCAATAAAAACAGAACCCAGAAACATCAACACCTGAGGCAAACTCTTTGAAATGGAATCAGCACAGCAGAAGCACACAGCACAGTGTGCATCATGTGGTGAAATACACAACCTTGTTTAGAGTGCAGAGACCTTTGGCAGGACAACTCAAAAGCTGGCGCCATCAGGGGAAAAACAAAGCATGCAGACCTCTCTTGACACTCTGGATCTCCCCATCTTGCTACAAAAGCAAAAAGACACTTCATTTAAAACCTTAAACATAGCATCATCTGAGTCATAAATTCTCAACACTGCATGTTATTTAAAGGCTTTCAAAGGAGCAAAGTTCTGCTGTCAGAATGAAGGACACAGAATGAAAGGCAAACAGAAAGCCTAATTGTTCTGGTTTATTGTGACCGAAGGGTCACCAGTGTGTTGTTTTTACTCACCATCTGACTGAGGAGTCTGTCCTGGACTGACTTCATGTCATTTTTTATCAGGCACATCTGAAAACAGCAGGCAGAGCAGCAGGGTTTTAAGGGCGGTAACGACAAATATGACACAGTCAGGACAAGCAGGGGACAATAAGATAAGCAAAATGCTGTAAAGGCCACTCAGCGAACAATTACTGGACAGACAGGTAGGTTGACAGACAGAGGGGACATGTTCTATTAAAAAGAAAAAAAACCCTATGAATCTATGAAGGAATATTCTTCATTCAAAGCTACCTGAGCTCCGGATTTACACAGTTAATTAGAAGTCTAACACTTGAGTAACACAATGAAGCACATATTAGATGTCAGCTGTGAAGTTCAGAGCCGAGGATCAGACCTGGGATGTGAATAATCTCTCCTCATACTCCAAGCCGTGACACACGTTACCCTGGAGGGCTTTCGTCAGGATCTTATTTCTGGAGGAAAAGAGACACAACCAAATGAGGGAGAGCCCAGAAAGGTGGGAGAACCCACAAGATAAAGGTAAATAACAAATGTAAATATACTGCGGGTTAAAGGGGAAACTATGCTATGCACTATTTCCTTAAAAAAAAACTGTGGAGTGACTTAGTGTAATTATGTTACATAAAGTCTGTGTGTATGTCAGTGTGGCCAAAAAGAAGCCACAGCTCACACACCCCCACCATTTCACTAAATCAATAAGGCAGTAGGATAACATACATGGTGCTTTTCAGCAGCAGGAACTGAGGAACTCATAAATTAACAGAGGGAGCAATGAGTGGGGTCATAAGTCAAAAACTGCCTATTTTGAGCAGTGTGTTAATTTAAGCCTGCAGATAGGAGAGGCATGTTGATGAATTTGGACGCTCTATATGAACACAAATCTAGTGTCCCATATTTTTATGGCCATCCATTCATTTTTAAAAGCCACTTTTTATATTTTGTGAAGCCTATTAACTGTGAGAAACCTGGGTATAACAGGATAGTCATTTACAGTCGTGGCAGCAGTGCCTGGTTGGATAATGGGAGAGGAAAGCATGCTAAATAAACACCAGTAAGCTCAGCTTAGTCATATGAAGAAGCACTAACCACATTCCCCCAAAAAATAGCTTGTGCCGTTGGGTGCATAGTCTAACTTATGATGATAAGCCTGAGGGAAGGCGCATTTTCCAGTCAAGCTTTTTAATCCATGTTCCACCGAATAAACAAGAGTGTTATTCAACCTTTTACAGAGTATATGGGTTTAAGCCTGTGGGAACAGCATTGATCAGAGTGTGGCAGGAAAACAGCATCAACAGTACTCTTTCAGTGCTCAGACAAACACACACACACACACACACAGGCCTAAATTTCACCTCCTGGTTTCCTGCTCCTGGTAAGAATGGAACGCAATGCTCTGCTTTTTCCAGTACATCTATGAGAGAAAAGAGAGCATACATTGATCAGACACTAATCAAATCCACATGAAGAACACATATTTAGTCACAGTCTCATTCAACAGAATTTTGTATGGTGGGATTATTTTTTATGACATTACTTTTTATATTCTCCCCCACAAATGTTACACAACTTGTGTGTGTATGTGTGTGTGTGTGTGTAAGAGAGAGAGACAGAGCGGGAGAGTAAGAGAGACACACAGTCAGGTCTTTCTCCATGCTTTTCAGCACAGTCTCATTCTGCTCCAAACTGTGGATCTCTTCCAAGAGGACCCCTTGAACCTGTTCAAGCCTCTGAGTCCTGTACAGAGGAGCAAAAAGCAAACAAAAACTAGAGTGTTTTCAGACTGCAGGAAGACAGAATACTGTACAGTTGGAGCCCATAATACATACAAGTACTTGTGTACGGAATAAACTTAGAATCGCTTTGGGAAATGAACATTGAATGCTGACAGTGGATTGTGCTGTCATGTTATTGGAAAACAACACTGGTGGAGAACCAGCCATCACATTAAGCTCTATCTTGATTGGAAAAATGGCAAATATACAAATTCAATTTTGCAATCTATGAGTCCCTATGACCAGTGAATGGAAAAGTTAGCTTTGTGTTTTACACAAATACTAACTACACACTAACTGACCTGTGTTTGGTAACTTGCATGTTGAGGGAGGAGACATGTTGCTGGACGCTCTTCAAAGACTGCTTGTTGTAAAGCTCCATCATCTTACAACGGTTCTGAATACAAAATTTAATAGTGGCACTCAGCTGACAAGATATATGAAGTGCTCCACAAACCAATGGGTGAGGTCACATTAGGTTAACACTGGAGTGTGTCGCTATACACTGTTAATGTGTGTTGTTGTGTGTACTTCCAACCTGGAACTTCTTGTTTATTAGGTCAGAGCTGAATTGCTGGCACATGTTATTTGGGTTTACAGCAATTTTTGGCAACTCCAAATCCTCATCCATGTCCATGTCTCCATCCGTCCCATCAGCCTCCCAGTGGCTGGAGCTCACTGTGTGCGAAGATGACATCACCCGGCTCACCTCACTTTCAGCAGATATCTCGACAACTGAGGGTAACAGACAGAGCCACTGATCCATTAGGGGGGATAACCTCAGAGAGTCAAATTGATTGTTGACTGTTGATTGTTGTATATTATTTATTATTACATATTTTTTTATGTATTTTTTTTTGTATTTCTCCTAAGCTAACCCTAACCCAAAGACAACTCCTTTGTGCTTTTGGTATTTCTATTGGTGAACGGACGGCAGACCCAGAAAAGGATTCTGATCACAAGATGTGCTCCTTGCCAAACCACCTATTGGCACATATTGTTCTGATATTCTTTCCATGGTAACTTTGAAAGTATGAAATTATGACACACATTCCTCATGTCCCTAAAAAACTAATGTGGTAACATTCATATTACTTTGTGTGATTAATGCATTTGCTTTTCAGGTTTACATGTGTATTTCTCTGCCAGAGGGGCACTGATTTCTCAAGAGATGTTATTCCACCAGAACATTTGTAATGTTACTCCAGACATAATTAACTATGAATTTTCTTAGTACAACATGTCTTACAGGACTTGAACAACTTCCTTGGTTTCATCCGAGGAGAACGCTGCTCCCTCATCTTGCTTTTCTTCCTCCCTTCCTTCTCATTTTCCTCGAAATTACTGGACAAGGAGATACGGCGCTTGCGACTGGGTCCTGCACCAAGAACCAGCTGTTTTAATACATTACCCAGTATACGACTGTTCCTTAAAACAGGACTTTCCTCTAATATAGATCAGTGGTTTGACTGTGGAGCCCCATTTTATGGAATTTGTATTCATTATGACTACTGCAACATTTTTTAAGTGTAGCAGGGATATAGGTGTGGGGTTAGGCTGTAGCAGGTGGGAAATCCAGCGTACACTTGTTAACGACCAAGTTGAAAAATAAAAGGTCAGGTCTTACCTGACATATGAAGCTGTGCAGGCTGTAAGTCTTGATCTGAAGGTGGTGATTTCTGTCAGGATGAACAGTAATGCATTAGCCGTTTGTTTGATGGCAGACAGCTAAGTACAACAATTCATTAGTGGTCTTTCAGTCCTAACATCCGTCCATTCATTTATCCATCCAATTATAATCTGCCAATCAATCATAATACATTTTGTGTGGTAAAGCCCTACCTCTGTATTGATAGCCAGGACAGCAGTGGGGCTGTCTTTAATTCTATTACTGAGTACTGAAGACTTTGTGGATGACAGGCTCACTGAAGACACTTTACTAAAACCATAATGGTGGCCATAGTTGACAGTGTCTTCACGGTATGGGGACTGAGGAGGAGAGGGCATGGGCGGCTTATCCAGCTGTGTGGATGTCAACAGGGGCAGAGTGGACGGAGACAAAGGAGACTGAGGTGATGAGTTTCGCTGCTGTTGGATTGGACTCATCTGGCAACAAATAAAAGAATGGAGAGGGACAAAAAGTGATGATGATGATGGACAAGACATACGACAACTCATTTAGGGGTTATATAATCACCATGTCTGACATGGATTAGTGACAGTAAAATGACAGACATTTTCTGTGACGCATAAGAGGCCCAGATGAAGTCTTCAGCACTATTATCGCTCTGCCTGGAGTTATACAAGTAATTTCAATCATGCTACTTAATCATTCAGATCATCATGTGAAATTCCAACATTATCTACATAATTACATTATGTATTTAGCAGGGAAAGTTGAATTCTCCAAATGGCCACTTCAAACTCATTGTTATACACATTTGCCCATGAGAATGGCTTGGTATACCCTCAGTCCTCTAATGTTACCCCTAACCGTTAGCAGTTGAGCAGCAGTTGATATTCAATATAACCAAACAGCTTTAAAAAAGAACCTCAAACCTCAAAAAAGATTGTTGATGGAAAGAGTTGTTACTTTTACCCACGTTTTCTCAACTGGTCTCAACCAGTGATGCTTAGGTCACAGTCACACACATACTTCCTTAAATTCTAGTTTACTGTTCACGAAGGCCTACAGTCATCTAATAATTCATGCCTTCATTCATGCCACTTTAGTGATTCTCACATGACTTCTGAATGACGTCAATGACTTCCATGTAGTGTAAAGGTGTGTGAATCACTTAAAGACGTCAAATACCAGGGAACTCCCAACCAGTCATTAAAACCGAAGAAGGCTCTGATATGAGTTGTTAAACTCAGCTACACTGCCCAGATACAGATCACTGGGGTGAAAAGGAGCATATTGCATTATGTTACATCAAACATCTGAATGTGATTCTACCATTTAACACAGAATCCATATATGACCATGAGACCTGCATAAGGTGTCCGAGAGATGCAGTTTTACCTCTGCTGCACTAGGTCCAGTGGGAGCACTGGGAACAGAGGTTTGCCCTATGGGGGTCAGTGAAGGGAGAGAGGGGACAGACTGGATGGATCGAGTCTTGGAGGACCTGCGCTTCTTTACTGCACTGTAGAAGGAGGAGGGCTTGAAGTTTCCTTTACTGCTGACTGTAGAGTGAGGTTTGGGTAGCAGCGGGATTGGCGAGGGGGTGTCCTGGCAGGGAGGGTCTGGGGAGGCAGGGAGTGGGGATCCCCGCAGGCTGAGGAGAGGGGAGCAGGTCAAACCCAAGGTTGGGGCTGACCTCTCGGCAGCTGTGAGGGTCCAAAATAAGCACAGATGTTCAAACAGCTGGCCTCAGACGTTGGACAGAGAGTAGAAGGTCAATATATACATGCTTTTCTACATATCAATTTACAGTTATGAGGTTGGAGAGCAATAGGGTCATTTATGTAACAATTTTAAACTTTCTGCGTAAAAGGTGGTGAGAGTGAAAATGCATCTATCTATGCAAAACATAGACTGATACACACAATGCTTTACACTTTAGCATCATATGACTGAAACTGAGCAAGCCAATTAAATCAAGTACAATTTGGGTTTTAGGTGAAGAATATTATTTTCTATATTTATATTAATTTCAGGTAGGACAAATTCAAATCCGTTTGGACCTTCAAAATAAAAGTGGTTATTTGCTCTTTCTTTTTACATCAGGGCTCCAGTTTATTAGCCATTAGGACTTGACTGAGAAGAAGTCATTCCCTCCATCAGTCTGCATAATCTCCAAAGGCATGTGCCTTCATTTACTCTTGACCTACTTAAATAAGTGGAAACTAAACATATTTATACATGTCAATGATGGGAAAAAGTTTAGGAACCAAAGTGTCAAACGTAATATATGTGGCAGCTGTGATGGAATTAACCATTTGATCCAACATGAAACATGTAACAGACATTAGCTGATGTCAAAGGAGTTAAATGACTGTTATCTAACTCAGATGTTGGCAAGTGGCTTTCCACAGTCTTACATCTCATCCTCTCGATGAAAGGAGGGGACGGACAAAAAGAGGTCTGGCGGATAGCCAAGGAATCCTTCAGTGCATTCATCTGATCTTGGGCAGGGGCGACATTTCTCTTATTTAACTTCAAAGTTTCTGGAAGAACATTCACAGGCTTCTGCTGCTGAAAAAAAAGTGTTTCTGTTATACATGATGATTAATTAACAGTCAATCATTACAAAAAAACTACTGTTATCAGATGTGCCTAAATCACATAGCATAATACTTCAAAAGGTAAGCTGAAGTGATGTAAATAGAAGGCTGGTCTCCCACCTTGAGACCAGATGGCTTTTTCAGATCTGATTGGTTGTTGCTGTCCTGTCTCCTGTAGGTATCTGTGGAGTTCTCAGAGGAGGTGTTTTTTCTTTTCTTTATCTCTGGAACCTCTGAACAGGTCTGCTCATTTTTCCTCTGCTCACCTACAAAATAATTCTGTTGGCGGACAAACCAAAAATGAAATGGAATATTGCTGCAACCAATAATACAACTATGACTGCAAAATGATTCATTCCACATCAAACATGATATTCATTCTCACTGCTAACAACAGAGTTCACTAAGGTAGTCTAAGATGATGCGTGGACTGCCAACAAGCTTTACAGCTGAGAAAAGTTGCCCATGGCTGAACTTGCCTGCCATAAGAAAATTGATTTCCACCCCTTGTTGTTTTCCTGCCTGTGGGATTTTGTTTCAAAATTATCTCTAAAAACACCATATAATGCTTGGAGAACAACTGGATCCATCTGTGGAGTTCACTGTAAGGTCTGATGTAGTTGTATTCATGTTTTGTCCATTTTTGATGGATGCTACCTAATACATGATCAGTATCAACTACCGATATTTGCCTTGATCACTGACATTGGCCTATCGGCAAATAAGACATTGTTTACCAATATCAGTTGCTGATGTTTATCGGTTCTGTCACATCAATTTTGCGCTGGACAAATGCTGTGTTCAACTTGGATATTGGAGAAATGACTAAGGGTGCGCCGTTCACGGTTTTTGAGGTCAATAGCCGATCATTAGAAGCAGTATCAACTGATACCAATCACGATCAGAGGCTATTTAAAGCCTTATGTCTATAGTGTACGCACACACTTACATCTCTGTCTCACACACCAGCTGCCCCGCCTCTCTCTGCTCTTGTCTCCATATACAGGCTGTATGTGTCTGCTCCGTTAGTTTGTTGGTCAGCAATACGTTTTTTAAAGACGCCTAAGAATCTCATGTTTTCAGTGTTTTCACCTGCAATTCTGTTTTCACACCAGCAGGTGAGCCATGTATTAACGAGGACGACACTGTTGCTTTACATCCACCAGATAACCTCTCTCTCTCTCTCTCGCAAGATACTAAAATGAGTCCCTAAATCTATGTCAAAGACTTTATAATCTTCCTATGGAATAAAATAAATGCGGCTCTTCTGATCCCCGATCAAACTAATCTAAAAGAGTGTATATCTGCAGATGACAATTGGTGACCGATTACAATTGGTGACCGATCAATCAGAGCACCCTCAGAAATAATCACTTCCATTTTCCAGCACTAGCACAATTTACACGCAAATACCCATGAGATCCATGCAGCAGCACAGACACTGAGCTGCTGTATAGTTTTACATCTTACATCCTGCATGAGAAGAAAAATAAACTAAGCTGCAACGTGGCAGAGATGCTTATTCTGCTTTATGGAATGTAGAAAAGATAATCACTTCATCAGGATAACGTGGAATATAAACTCAATGAACTCTACCTTGGAAGTGGGTCGCTGCTCTGACACAGAGTCCGACCTGCTGCTATGATGGCTGCTCTTTAGATTCATGTAGCTTTTGCTTTGTTGTTTGCTGGCTGTCCCTTTCTTCATCACTTGAGCAGTCTTGTGAGTTTTTTCAGCATTGTCCAGATGATTGGTGGAAGAGAACTATAATTAGGGACAAAGACAGTACAATTTTAGTCAAGTACTGTACAAACAATACACCTGAACAAGTTAATGGTAGATATTACTTGCTCAAAAGCCAAACACCTCAAATGCTTTACATCAAAATTTTGTGTGTCAAAATTTAGAAATGGCCGTTAAGTATGCTGTACTGCAACTGTGTAACAAGGTATCTAACATCTCTGACTGTATTAAAGAGTGTATCATTATATATTGTACTACATTGTAAGGCTGACTTTGACAACATTGGTCTGCAAAATCACTCATATTAACAAAATGCCAAAAGGGTCATTGGTATGGGCAGATTCAGATAGATAAACTCAGATATATAAACCTAGTGTCATAGGAATGCACAATAAGAACAATTACAATGTTATTGTTCAGCAGTGTTTCAAAAGTGGATAAATTAAAATGCTTTTAAAAATAGAAAGTGGCATAAGATATAGGGAGTCTTTTGCCTTAGAAACAGGAGGCTTTACTGATTCTGACTGGCTGTCATCAGAATCTGGCTCCTTGTAGCTCTTGGTAGAGATGGCTGCTGCTCTCCGGGGCCTCCTGCCCAACACATGTGGTCTGTGTGGTTCTGCTGCTGGCTCCACTGTCTTCTTCGACTGTTCCGCTCTCTCCTTCATGTCGGGCTTCTTCTAATATAACAACGACACACTGTGGCTGACTGGGATAATGCATCACAGGCTAAAAGCCCATTATTTGTCAAAAAAAAAAAAAAAACCTGCCTTACCTTATTGGGTTTGGTATTGCCCTTTACAGGTTTTTGAGCTGGTGGGTGAAAATCTGGAGATTTATCTGCAATGAAAGAAAGCCCATTCTGTGTATGGAAATACTAATACCTTTAAAAAATGAACATCAGTCTTAATGTGATGAATTTCAGACTGTAAGAAGCATGAATGTGTGGCTTTAATGGCTTACATGAAGCACAAGGTGACACAGCTTTAGGCTTGAAGGGCGCCTGCCTAGAGTATTTGGTGACTTTGGGTTTGGGTTTCCTGCTCGACTCCCTCAGCCAGCTGACCTCTGTCATGGCATAGTCTGTGTCTGTGTCACTGAACAGATGCTTCTTCACATGTCGCTTCTCCTGCACCATACAGGGGAGTGGAAGACAGGGAGATAGATGGTTAGAAAGAGAGAGATGCTTTCCTGGCACATGGTACACTTAAATTTGCTGCTGCATAATTCTTGCCCTAATAATAAGTAGGCTTTCCTCCCTTTTAAATGACACGAGCAGAGCACACATGCAGCAAGAACACACACACAGTCTTTACCGACTTCGACTTTTAATACCTATAATAAAACACTACAGTACGATTTAAGAATACTTTTGCCACCGGTTGTCCTTTCTTGGCTGTGCTGAGGAGTCCTGAGGAGTCACGGATGCCACTGTCAAACATGTGGGGAATATGAAATTAGACAGTTTTCTTTACAAAATGGTACTCTTTCAAAGGTTTCATTTTTTAACAAATAAGCCCATGTGCCATTCTCGACTGTCAGACCCACCTGCTCGATATGGCAGAACTGTCAGTGAAGGTTTTGTTCTTTGCCTAAAGAGCAATAAAACAGACTTTAAGCACTACACTAGCATACCAAGTACTCAGGTATAATATATCCAAAGATATAAAATAACTAATATTAGCAATATTTACCCCAGTGCTCAATGGTGGATCAATGTTGAATGCAAAAACATCTTTTCTGTACAACAGAAACAACGCATTAAGTAAATCATAAAATGCACTGAAAGCCACAGAAATGTGCCTCAAATACAGAATTATATTACCTCTGTTTTGTAGAACTTCTTGTGGTTTTGCTGTGGGACTTCATTAGGCTTACAGCTCCAGATACATCTCTCTATAGGAGACAGATCATCTTTAGTAAATCAAGGAGGAGAAAGTAACATTAAGTTACTCCTCACCTTAAATAAAGTAACGATCACTTACTTTAGCAGTTGACAACCAGCTCATATTGAAGATCGGCCTATAACAAAAGTCAGTAAGTGGCACAATTAGCATTGATATTTGTTAATTTACTACAGTACAACATAATACAATCATCAATGTGTATACCTGTTTACAAAATGAGGACTCCAGGTCTGAGGGATATTTTCTGCAGTAGCTTTTGCTGTAGGTTGGGGGTTACTCTCATAACGGCTAGAGATGAGCTTCACCATGCTGCCTGCAACCTCTGCATCTCTCTGAGTAAAGACAGCAGAAGGTGTGGGGATCACAACATAAAACATTAATAACCTTAGAAAGGGCATAAAGCTTACAGAAGTCATACCTTCTCTTTGACTGAAAGGGCCCTGTTAGTTTCAACCCTAACGTTGGGTGGTATTCTCTCTTGCAGAACTTTGGTTGTGGAGGCCTTGGCTGGAGCTTTGATTAAAGCAGCATCTGCCTCCAGTGATATTTGGCCTTTGCTCTTCCCTTTGGCCGGGCCACTTCTCTGGGCCCGCTGTTCTTTGGGAGCACGTAATGTGGAAGCACATTGTTCCGCAGAGCTTCTGCCTTTGGAGTCCTCTCCGATATCAGACATTTTTCTCTGGGGTGCAGCTGGCTGCTGAGGTGCAGGATCTTGGTTCCTCTCGCTGAGGAACTGCTGCAGGCGCCTGGTGACTTCAGTATGGAGTTGCTTTTGGCTGACTCGACCGGGAGCTTGAACAGACACTTTCTGTACTGAGGACTGGCCCTCCTGCTGTTGCGCCAATCGAGGCTCTAAAAGAAGAAAAAAATATTTAATTTAGAAACAACATAAAAGTTAGTTACATACTTTTTTTCCTAGCTAGTTTTATGTGTTACTATGTTTTAATATTCAAAATATTTAGTGACATCTTTGAGATAGTAAACATACTTGATAACTTCTTTGCTTACCAGGTCGTGGTACAAAATTGATTTTCTGTGTGGGCATCATTAGCATTTCAGAAACCGACAGTTTGCTCCAGTTAGAAGATCTGCAATTTGAACAAATGAACAAGTTTAGCTATGCACTAGCTATGCATATGCTACATACAACATAAATACACACAACATTACCAATCAGAGGATTTCATAGGGCTTACATGTTTCTCCCAGAGCTGGGTTGGCTGTCTGGCACAAAATTATGCTCTGTAAGTAAAAACATCAGTGGTGGGTTCAAGACTCTCTGAAGAATAACAGTGTAGCTGTATTATCAGGCTAAGCCAAAGTGCAAAGTCACTATAGCAATATAATACCCAGAGACAGTTCTTCTCCCTGTCCAGCTAGAACCACATCTACTGCTTTTGCCAGTGGTATGTTCTGTAGGACAAATGGACACAATAAATTAACTACATTATATATACTGTGTAAAATCAACTTTCTTTCCACTGAAATAAAATATAAAATACATACAGGATTATCAGGGTAAATTACACCAGATTTGCCTGACAGCTGGAAGAGAAATCCTGGAGGGGTGGTTAGGACCACCAGCTTTAAACATTATCTTGGTCTGGGGTTATCAGGTTTAATCTTAATAATGAATATGTGTAACCACTAAAAAAAAGATTCAAAAGCAATATTACTGTGTTCATAGTTCAATTGTATCATACCCTTATATACTGAGAACAGTTCAGAAAGATTGTGCAGAAGTAGAAAACACAGCTTTTTTTTTTTTTTTTTTACAAACATAATAATTTGGTGATTATACCTTTTTGTGCTTGCCAGCTTTATTCTTAATGGCCTGTTTGGAAGCTGTACTCTGTAGAGACGTATCACCCTGAGACAGACACCATGAAATTAAGGGAACTTTCAAAAAGCAAAAACAATATCAGATTTAGCATACTGTGACATTTTGGGCTTGCTCTGACCACCTGTGTAGTATGTTAAATGCTGTTTATTCAATATTTTTCATACCTGCTCTGTACTGCCACCTGCTACGGTGCTGTTAGATGTTGTGCCGTGACTGTAGGTCTTAGCGGTTGTCCTTAGCTCTCCCAGGTATAATTCACCTTGCCGGTCACATGAACGAACCATCTCCAGAGATGGCTTCCCTTTACCCCTGACTGGAGTGTCTTAAAGGGAGAAAATAACAGTCCTTCCTTCAATTTATCGTCACAGAAATTAAGAAAGTATGAAACTGAATACAAAATTGACAAGAAGCTTCTCATCTGCACGAAAGACTGCCAGGAATTTTTTGGGCTAATATTGTGGAATGTGAATACGGATATGACGATAATCTTGGTACACATGAAATAGGCACATTGTAATCTTAAAAGACAAGAAAGATCCACTTGTGATTCAGTTCCATCTTTTGATGTGCTGTCTCAGCTGTGCCCTTCTCTTAAATTTATTTGTCAACAAAAGCCATTGGACAAAAATGTATCTTTCAATTCATCTTAGTTTGGTTTATTGTAATCTAACCAGTTTATTTCTGTCGCTAGATGTGACCTAGTAGTATCTATTCTAACTCTTTCCTCCTCAACAACAGGACAATTTATGATGTCATACATCTTATCAACCAAAGGTTCACAGTACACCGCTAATCTTTCCTTGACATCAAGAAAGTTGAGGAGGCCCTGTAATAAGAAATACATAACCCAAAGAGTTTAGTAAAGCATATTTAATGCTAAATAAATGTTTGCATATTGTACAATTAACCCTGTTTTCTTTTAACATAATACAATTAGACTGGAACTGGTGTGACAGCAATTCATAACAATTTCTAGTGTCACCTACTTGATGGCAAAACAGCAGAGAGGGACTTGGCTCTATGCACACTTCCTCCTGCACTGCTGCTGATGAAGGTGGTCGACTCTGAAATCCTCATCTTTGCTGGGGTCACGATCTGGATGGGAAATCAGAATGAATACGATGTTTTAAGTCGCATCTTTAAATGGTCCATGAAAATGTTATGCTCACATGATCTTTTTTAAATATGTAATCCCTTTAACAATCGACAATGGCAGTATAGAAATTCAACAAAGATTCAATGTCTTCAGTGTCAGTGATTCCTTCGTAGGGCAAATACTTGAACCTGATATGGACGGTTCCTTTGCCCTCTACGCCCCCTACTGGCCATAACTGCTACTTCTTAAGGTGTTTCAGTTAGTGATCTCAATGTCAGGTGCATATTTTCACAGCAGAACTACAACCAAGTGTACTTTTTGAATGATATATTATATTCTTTTATGTAGCCATAACACAGCTTCTTATCAACTAACAATCTCAACAAGTCCAATAAAATCATAACAGTTTTTTAGTCCTCTTAATCGTCCTTCATTAAATTTAGGAGTTTTTAAGACCTATTTCACGCCCATACTGGCGAGTACGAAGGATATGAAGATGAATCGATATTGGTTTCATGTCGGTTTTGTTTTGTAGTTGTTACAGCTTGATCAAAACCATTTTTCCCCCAAAGCACATTCAAAAGTGAGACTGCAACTTCATATGAATGTTACTTCACGTAAGTAACGTTAACTTTGTTAATCCAATGAATTTTTAAGACCTGTCAAAGGTCCTTTTAGACATTTTAAGGCTTAAAATTCAGATGATTGGATTTTAGACTTTTTAAGATCCTGCAGACAGCCTAATTAAATCATTTTATACAAGATAGTGTAATAACTAGACAAAAAAAACTGTTCTTTTTACACAAATCCATAAGAACTGGAGAGTCTGGTTATGTATGTTTTTGAGCTCAAAACATGTTTGTCATTGACAAACCTATGAGTTGTTCACATACAGAACCAAACTCTATCACCTGTACAGGTGCAGATGGGGCTGGCAAAGGGTAGGGGGCAGTATTTTTCTCACTGTCACCAAGGGACACCTGACTCTCTGGAACAACCTGCATAGAGTGACAAACATACAAAAGGCATTCCTCATAATATCAAATTAGTGTAAAACTCATTAATGAGGCCAAACACCAGCCTTGAGATTATTTGTCTGTAGCCAAACTTTACTCAATGAACTAAATGTAACTTATATTTTGTACTTCGACAATCTGATCTAAAACAATCTCAGAAAGAAACAAATTCTATCCGTAAATAGGCAGCCTTCCCAACTGTCTCCAGTTGAAAACATCTGTATTGATGTTATGCTGTATTAACAGGCCATTATTTACCTGGGAGCTGTTCTCTTCCATTATAATTTTGACTGTGGTCTTCACTACAGATGTGCCCGTCTTTCCCAGAAAGCCCTGCCAAGAAGATCACATGTTTATTTGCAAACACCCAAATAAATATTCTTATTAATAAAGTGATCAATAAGGCTGGAGTGGGTAAGCCATGGCCTACTTTGTTTTTGCTGTGTCCATAGACGCTACGAGCAGCCTGCAGGATATCCAGGGAGGAGCTGAAGTGGATGGTGAGACTCGATCCTTCCACTGCACCCACAACCACCACCTCTGACAGTTTTAACCGCAAGACTTGCCTCTTGCCGTCCTCTGGAGATAAAGTTTAGCGTTATGCTCATTCACTGATTAAAGCAAAGGCCTTTAAAGACACATACATTAATCAAGTTCATTCATGCACGATGCCTGTGGTTTAATGAACAAATGTATGCATGGAATACCACAATACACTATATATGATTGTGTTAATTGTGACATCTGCAGCTAGAGGGCTGAACTAATAAAGACCACTGCAGTGGTCTTTGTGCTTTGATTACCTGTAACAGTGTAGCTTTGGACTTCATTCTCATTAATACATATTGTTTCCCATTGGCCCTCCTAAATGAAAGGAAAACCACTCTACGTTAGTCTCTAACAGATATTCATCTACTGTTGGACTTTTTTATTTTTACTGTTATTAATGATCTTGCGGTACCTGCACTTCTTCATCAGCCAAGGAGAAGTAAAAGGAGATGCTATGACTGCCAAGGTTGAAGTCAATCCAATATTCTTCCAGCTTCTCATCAGCGGGCATCAGCAGCTGACAGGATAACCACAATGCTTACACCGACTGAGTACATTATGGATTGTGATGTTCCACTTCACATGCACACTATCTTTACACTTACTCACGTTCTATATCATTACCTTTACTGTGCTGTCAGACTCAGACAGAAAAACATGTACTTGTCACTTTCTGTTTGAACAATGTTATGATTTCATTTTTTGAACCATAGAAATCCTGTTTCATTCCTGATACTGACCTCAAACTTGTCCAGATAAACCTCCAAACAAGGGTAGGAATACACTCTATAATACAGAGAGGACATTGGTATTTAGTGATATGCATGTCATTAGGGCTGCAAGTTTTCCTTAACCTTTATCCTATCAAGAACCCCCAAATACTGTATATTTAAAGAATTTAATGAAAATATATTGGGACTCATGCATGAATCGTTCATACACACAGATTTGATTTTAAATTGTGCTTGCGAACAATTTAAGTTCTTTTGTGGCATTCATCGATACTTGTGTACTTCCTGTTTGTTCTTACGTAAGGTCAAATTTGACGTAAGATCAAAATTGTGCTCTTTGTCCCAATATGCAACTGAGCCAGCTTGTGCTCGGTGCTGTACAATTTAAAGTTACCTTATGAAAAAAAAGAAGAAAAATGTACTAAAATGATTTATTCATTTGATGATTTTAAATGTTTACACTTTCATGATGATAAGGTTGCTGAGTCAGATTCTACAAAAATTGTGTGCTATTCTGGAGCCTCAACTTAGATTAGACACAAAACGATCTAATCCTACCATCTCATCTGCAAATAGTCATCGCTTCGGTTTCCTGGCATTTCCTGTCCTTTTTTTTTATTTTTTATTATTTGGTCTGAGTTCAACATTACCTTTCAAATGTCAGTGGCTTGTTGATTTGCACGCGGCACCTACATCTGCTGCCTTTCTATGGATTTATTGGGGTGTTTCTAAATGCTAATTGCAAATTTCCTTGCACATGCATCCAATTTAAGATCAAACACAATTCATCAACATACTCAGGTAGGTAAGAACACACTTGACTGTCAGCGCACGTTTCATGAATCCCATGTAGGACTTTCTTTTTTTCCTTTATATAAAAAAAAAATAAAAACACATGCATGCATGAGGCCCAATGTTAGAAATTAGCTGGAACAGAATTACACAGCTGTTTATTATATGGGTGTGTGATATCACTGAGGAGAGAGGGAGGACTGTCACGCTTACTCATTCTCTCATTATACTAGAGTCAAGGGTGTGATGTAGCAGTTCAAATATTCCTCTTTTGAGTGTCAACACTAATAACCCCTCATGTTCCCCAGACCACATCTTGGTTAAGTTAAGATACTTGTGTACCTTCTCTTGTCTCCCTGCATCCCATTCACCAAGTTCAGAAACTTGCGACAATCCTGAAATCACACACACATTTACATTAAATTCAACATAGCTGAGCTGTTGTAGGACCATAACAATACATTACCACTGTAGTGCACTCGGATAAATTACACGTTTTTACCGTCTCAAACTCAGAATCACGGATCTTGGCAAAGGCTCTGGCCACATGCTCCATGCTGAACCATCGATCTGTCAGGTCCTTCCTCTGGTCAGGAGTGGCCATTCTGCACAACGCCTCCATCAGCGCTGTCTGCAAGTCGTAATCTGACAAAGATGCGTACATGTTTTGCGTCTATATAAGTTTCTGGGTAAAGAGAGATGGTACTTTTCGTAAAGAAAAACTTACCACCACCGTCCAATATCTGACCAGCCAGCTTGATCCTGTAGAAATATGATTATTAAAAAGAGTTCAAGAGCGTGTGGATACTGTAAAAAATGATATGATCCTGACAAACAACCAAGTCATACATGATATCTGAGGCCTCCTGTGATGTTAGGATCTTCTTCTTCTTCTTTAACTCCACTGGGATTTTGTCCAGAATTAAGTTAAATTTACGAATTGCCTGTTAGAACATTACTAGCAAGTTAATTTATGAACAAAAACCTGACTCACTGTTTTTAATGCCATTTCAAAAAAAGTAGTAAAACTATTTCAAACCTCTTTTTGGATCAGGATGTAGATTCTGGGGTCTACTGCCAACTGACCAACAGGATACAGGAAGGATTCTGTGATTTTGTATGTTCCTGCAAAATAACATGTTTAAGGCAATACTGTGAATAAAGACAGAGCTTTTCCAAATGTAAGCATTGATGTGGCTCTAAGCCCGTTCTGTATGATAAATCCTCCTTATTTTCCACCTGAATCTGTTCCTACAATCTCTCAGTCTAAAGGAACAGAGTAACTGAAAACAATGTCAAGAGCGCCTGATTTGATAGTACTCTAAAACAAGTGGGATAGTGTTAACAAATTTTAACACTAGTGTGAGGAGAATTTGATGCTCTCCTATCTGTGGAACAGAGATTCAGGTCATACTGTGACAGTATGATAAATAATGGGTAGGTGAAATACAAGCTTGCTCGTGTTAATTTCCACTAGGGTCCTAAAAAGGGGCGAATTGAAAATGAAACACATATACTGAGGATGGAATGCAGATAAAGATAAATGTGTACCCTCTTTGCATGAGTCGTGAACCACCTGTAACAGAGAGGAAAGAAAACAGTTTCACATTACAGGCACCAACATGAGTAGTACATGTTACAGTAGTTTTATAAAATAAAGTGTGTTTTACTGGTAGACATTATCTCACCATTAAGGCATCAAAGAAGTCCTCAGAGAGGTTGAACAAGGTCTCATCCCACTGCGGGCCACACTGGATCCACAGTTGCCTGCATTTCTCAAACCACTGCACCATGTGCACAAAACCAGGTTCAGTTAGCAATTAATTACATTTATTTATAAGATTTTATTAATACTGGAATTTTGAATTAGCTTGTATGTATTATACACACATAGACAAAATACATACACACACTATGTGCCTCTTTGTATTTAATGTATACTTATCTTTTTGAGCAGGCCTTGAACTATTAATCCAGACAGCCCTTGACTAACACCAGGCAGTTTCAGGTTTTTCCCACACTTGTAGAGGACAGCAAAACCCAAACTGGCTGACTTGCAATCTTTTTGATCAGAACTCTAGATGAACAAGATATATACGGTTTCATTAAATCCACAAACTACAGAAGATCATGGCATATTACTGAGTGTGCTGGGCTACATCTTACCCTGCTGACAAGTTTATCCAATTTGGTGAGAAACTGTTGGGAACATTTTATGGGGGTCCCTTCTTGTATGTCCCTTTGCAAGAATACATCCAGTGCTTGGACATTCCCACTCTTCAATACCTCATCAATGACTTTCTCCAGCTGCACATATGGAAAGGGTTAATCACAGTTTACTCTTCACCATTACTTCAACAACAAATATGAAAGTAACTTCACCACAAGATACAGTAAAGTTGGTAAGGTTTGCATGCCCACCTGTGTGTCCTGACTCGGTGCCATTTTTCCACCACTTGGCCTCTGCTGTCTTCAGAGTGACTGTAAAGGTAAATTTCAAACATCAACCTGCCAATCTCAACACTACATTAACAGGAATTAACTATATAACTCAAGAATTAACTATATAACTAAGCTGTACCTAGGTGAAGGTCAATATAACCTTATTTGTAAACTCCACATGCAGATAAGACTGTATTACTGATTTTAAAAAGCATTAGTGAGATGACTTTGTACATTAGCTAACCCTTGACAACATAATCACATCATAATACATATTTTTCTGTCAACTCTGTTAGTAGTTAAACCTTTATGTAACTACCGTCGTAAATAAAGTTTAACACAAGCTGACCTGTTTCAAGCTTACTGACTTTCCACATCTAGCTGTTAGCCCGATGTACAACCCCACCACTGTGTAGCTCAGCAGTAACGTTAGCTTAACGGTACCTGCTGCTAATGTTAGCTTAACGTTAACATTCACTAACGTTAAAAACTATAACAGACAATAAATACTGAGGTTAATGTTCAGCAGGCACTGAGTAACCAAAATCATCAAGGAAACGATGTCGGATTTCATTATTCCTGTAAAGTTACTTACTGTAATGTCGAGTATCAAAAACATGATATGTAATATTTCTCAGGTTTTCAATCGCTCCAGTGTTAAACGCGCGAAGTCTTTTCACTCATCACGCATGCGCGAGTCAGGTCACTATTATCCACCAGCTTCCTCCACTATTATTAGTCCCACTACAAGAGCTTCTCAAAGTAAGGTTCATTCATCAGGTTTAAGCAGACATTTAATCCTGTACTGGATTATATATTTAGTGCTTCACTTTCACAAAAAATAAACAATTATTTTCAACTACATTTCCCATGAGCTCCTGTTACATTAGCTACATGTTGTGACTACAGTGGTTTATTCCAATTTAGCTGAAAACATAGACATATATATATATTGGCATATGTTTTGAAGAGTTTTTTTAATAAGTGAAAACTAGGAGAAACCCCATTGAGTCACAAAGAAGCTAAGATAGCTGGGAGGAGGTGGGATTTCAGCTTTCAAGAAGAATATAAATGACAAATAATACGATTAATAACGATACAAGGTGAACATTATGTGCAATTGTGCTTTATTGTTAAAAAAAATAAGCAGGTATTTCTGATTCATGAAAAGATATTCAAATTGTATCTATTGCATGGTTTGGACATTTGGTTTAAAAACTATTGACTCAAAAATAAACTCTGAATACAGAGCAAATGGTTCAGCAGACCAACATCCTGCAGTGTATAAAACTATTGTCTATGTCAAATACCCAGCTGAAAGAAAACAGTGTTCAGTGAAGCGCCTTCATTTCAATAACACTGAACATGTACGTGATGCTCAGTGGATGTTTCCACATTAAAGTGCATTTTTTTTAATAGCTGGGAAAATCATATAGTGCAATTTAAAAAAAGAAAAACAGTGGCACTAAAGTTGGCGTCAGGTAAGTCCACTAGTGTTTGTTATTTTTCACTCTGCGAAGTCTGAGTTCACAGTTAATCTTGAACAAAGGAACCATGAGTTAGCACTTGTCTAACAAAATGAACATTACATGTTACAATGCAGTTATGCATTTTCAATAGGTCTTGCTGACAAAGTGCTCTAAATAGGTTCTTCTACCTGTACTCAGCATACTAAATAAAGTGCACCATGCTATCCTCGCATTCTTTTGGCACAGTGAGCTTGTAGTTATGGCAAACTAACTTATAATTCTCTCCATCATTGTTGTCCCAGTATTCAGCACCACAGACTTTGTACCGGATAGCAAACTGTAAGACTGCTCCAGGCTGCAGGAATGGAGGAACAGGCAGGTGGAAACGAAACGTATCATAACTGTGCTGTCCCCCTCCTCCTTCCCAGGTCTTGGTGATGGTGGACACCCAAGAGGCTTTAGTTTCTGTGCAGCTCTTCCACTCTGTAAACGAATAGCGAGCTGTGACATCTTTCTCAAAGTCCAAATTGAGGACCTGGGTGATTCCGATGACACCCAGTTCAAAACACAAGACTCTCTCCAGACACACTTTCTGCTCGTGGAGACGATGCATGAATCCTGGCTGGTCACCAGGTTGTTGGGCAAAAACCGGCTTCAGGTATGGCAGGGATATCTCCAGATGCCTTCCATCTGCCAACTCTGCACCCATCAACAATCTAAAGGTAACATGTTGTGGTACAAATGGATCCTCTCCAGATTTGAAAAGCCTGATGTCTTCCAGATCAACCCCCAGAGAGTCAACAAAACGCACACCAAAAGCTCTGCATTGCTTCTTCTTCTCTGTGGCGGAGGGCAGAGAGTGTGACCGTTGACGGATGATGGGTTTAGGCGTGGGTTCGCAGGAGAGACTGCGGTGTAACTCTTGTGCCCTTGGTAGAGAGACTCTGGGGCTTGGGGGCCGGATTGGAATCGGCTTCTTTACTGCATTAGGTCTGTCAGCTCGGAGCATTTCAGTCAGGTTGATAGTCATGCATGGCCTTGAGACGCTGCTGCAAGAGCTCTGCTCTTCAGATTTAGTAGAGGAGATCCTCTCCTGTCCAATAAACCACCCTCTATCCATGTCCTGTGAGATCTGTTGTCCTGCTCACCTGTAAGGAAAGTTGTGAAGCATAATTTATAATTATTATATCACATTAATTCCTACATGTATACACAATGACGCATTTGGACGAGAGAAACTATTCTGTTGGAGCACATTTGACAGGACAGAAAGTCACAGCAGGAAAAGAGTGGGCGTGTGCGCTGGGAGTACGTGCCTGAATGCATACAGCTCACTATACTGCCTGTAAAACAGCTCTAACATTACTGAAACTGCCTTTAATATGGCTCAATAAAATAATACGTTGACGTCACCTCACCATATAAAGATACGAAGCGTAAATTACATCTAAGCTGCAGGATGTAGCCTAAGCTTGATCCTCCATTTAAAGAAGTATTTATTGGAGCTGCGCGTTTCCGTGCGTCATGAAGTCTCCGCTATTGGCCGCAAGCACGCAACCTGATCTGTAAGTAGCAACCACCTCCATGTCTCTCGGATACGCATACATGTCTGGTGTATGTGCCCTCGGTGAAGATCTGCTAATGTGCGCGCAGTTAACAGGAAGCTGCAGAAGGACCAGAATATCACTGACGCTGCATGGGAGATTGAGGAGTTTAAGATCAACAGACACGTTGGTTTCAAGTCTTTTTTAACTTCTTTCCCGTAACACGGTGTCGGTCGTTCCCCCACTTGTACTACACACCGTTTATGAATAGCAAGTAGGGCTATTAAAGAGCGTTTGTGTGTGTAGTTTGAACGAGCAATTGATGTGCCTTTACTTCAAGTCCCATAATGCACCGCGCAATGCCCAATTCGACACAAGTGGCGAGCCAGTGAGCAAGCAGGTAAACAAACCTATCTGACTGGGAAGGCGAGCCAAACAAAGCGTATGCGCTGTTTGACCGTCCTGCATTCTTAATGGCGAGGAAGATGACAGTGGGAAAAAAGATGCGTCTGCTGTCACCAGTTCTTTAAAATAACCCCCCTGAATTGTTGTTCGCAACGAGAGAGGCGAGTCGACGGCGAAAAGAGAAGGACGAGTTGAACCTGCAGTGGAGAAAAACGACTGTCGACATCTGCGCATGATGCATTGCAGCACTTTTGAGAAAATGGGTGTCTTTAGCCTCATTCTGAGAATAGAGTATCTGATCCGAGATGTCGGTTGGGTTCTTTAGCTACCGGATCATTTGATTTTGCTGGACTCGAAACAACATCCCCTCTGGCGACCTGCAACATGGGGCCCATCATGCAGGAACGCACAGCATCCACGACACTGAGACGCGTCGTCTCCAAAGAGAAGATTCGGGTAAAAAACACAGAAAATAGCGGACCAGTAACCAGGTAGGCCTCATTGTACTGTGGCACATGGCAGACAAAATGAAGTGTGTCATGTTTTTTTGTCTCAGACATAGGTCAGAGGCGAGCCTGACAAAGCCACTATCATGTTTCCACAGTTCAAAGAAAGGTAACAAGATGAAGAAAGCAGTGGGCCAAATGAAAAATGGCCTCCCAGGACCAGGTCAGGATAAGGACACACTGACAACAGTGCAGAGGGTGAGTGAATTAAAGAGAGATAATGTTTCAGCCTTAATGTCCTTTGACAGACTAGATTGAAGAGGAGGCTGACTGCAGCATGTGTTGTGGGTCACGTACTTCACAAAACTCAAGACAGCATCCTCCATAATGATTTATGATGGTGATTGTTTTATAGGGTGCACAGCCCAAAGGTTGCAGGGTCAAGTCTGGCACAACACGGAACACTAGCAAACTCTCCAGGTATGTGTGGAGGAGGGGGGGGTTGCAGTCTTACTGAATGCTTTGCTTGAGTTGCAGTAAATCCCCAAATCCCCAGCAGCTTTTCCTTACACTTGTCTGTCTCTTCACAGCCCTGAAGAAGATGGAGATTTGAGACCTCAGCTCCGCAAACACTTATCTGTGCACAGGAAGGAGGAGAAACCTGAAAATCAACGGATGTCACAATGCGGCAGTGAGCTCCAGCAGAATCGTGGGGCGATGGGGAAAAATCGGCGAGCGCTCTCCCTGCCTCTCTCCCCAATATCAGGGCTACGACACATGCCAGCACACCCCCTAACACACTCCCCGGCCCCTACCCCGGAGGCACTACAGCAGCACTACAACCACAAGGATGTTGACACTGACAGCGCCAGCGATCTGTCAGACTCTGAGAGGCTGCCCGTGCTGCCCTCTCCCTGCACCCCCTGCACCCCTCCTCACCTCAACCTGCGGGCAGAGGTCATCAACAGTAATGACTTTCCCCCAGACTTCCCAGGACCCTGTGGGATTCTGGGTGATGAAGATGAGAGTGAAAAACCCAGCTACAGTTACCCAGACTTTCTGCCGCCTCCCTTCAACAGCTGGAGCCTGAGACAGCTGGCAGTGTTTCTTCATACTGAGGGCCGTGGCGCCCCCCGGCCCAAACCTGTAGGGCCCTTAGAGAAGTACCTGGAGAGGCTGCTGCAGCTGGAGTGGCTCCAGATCCAAACGGTGCAAGCAGAGAGCACCCGTCCCCCTGGGAGCCGTCTAAGGCCACAGGGTTTCCCCTCTGCCACCACTGCTCACCCACCCAGGCCTCACACAGCTCCACCGTCCAGACTCAATTCCCCTAAAGGGCTGCGGCACAGCCAGCGAGCCTTTCCATTTGCACCTGTCAACAACCCGCCGTCACCAGCCTCAACCCAGCACCAGCACTCCCGCTTCCCAGTTTGCCCTCACTGTCACATTCGCTACCCGCTGTGCAATGGAAGCTGCTCTGCCTATGCCTACCAGCGCCACTCGCGGCTCAGCCCACTGCTTGAGCGCAAAGCCAGACCTGGGGCGCCAGCGAAGAGGAGCAGCAGTGAGACCCGAGCGACCTCCACGGAAGGTAGGAGCCCAGGAGGACAAGGGGGAGGAGCCAATACCCCAGTTAGCCCCTCAGCTGGAAGGAGTCATCTCAGGCACATGCAGGCTGCAGGCAATGCCCGTAAGCAACCGCAGGAATCTGGAGCCAACCCAAACAGCAGAGGTCAGGTGAGGAAAAGCCGTGTCAGAGCTAACTCTGAGACAGATGTTAAAAAGGAGCCTGGTGGCAGTAAGGCAGCCGGTGCAGAGAAACGTGTTTTTGCTGCAAGTAAGAGAGAGGTCCTCACTTCCAAGAGAGTAGAGAAGGACTGGCAGAGGACTGAGGCAGGTCACGGAGGTCCGGCCTCTAAAACTGCCATGAAAAGAGCTGCTAAAGAGCCGCAGTCTCTCTCCAAAGCACCGCTTAGTAGTAAGCAGAATGACAAAACAAAAAATGTGCACTTTGTTGCAAAGTAACCCCTATAGACCTACAGTGTAGTGCTTTACTTAGTGGTTACTTGGTACAGGAGCTTGAACCTATGCTTGCTTTCTGTGTAATCTGTGTAATACTAACATGTCGTAACTGTTGTGCAGCAGTCTAAATCAGTCAGTAGTGTACAGCCTTCAAAAGGTCAAAACTAACAAGAAGTTGAGCAGCTAGACTAGAGATAAAATAGCAATGATTTCAATGCACAATATGACAGTTAAATAGAACAGAATTATATATATATATTGTATTTCATTCGAAATGTACAGTAGGTTTGCGGTCATAATTTCAGACTGTTCTGACAAAAGGCTCATTATGGCCCTAAACACTAGTAGGATCAAAACAGTCTAAAAACACAGCTTCTATGTAAACTGAACTCTGTTGCACTGCACAGTCGTCTCTTAGTGTGCTTCTAATGTTGAAATAGGCATAAAATAAGCATCTACCGTACCACTTAACAGCTTTCAGCATAAGTAATCTATAGTGAAGTTGAACACAGATCATTACATTTTAGTCATCCAATACAACCATAGCTGTTACTAGTGGAGTTTTTGATGTTGGAATGTATTTGTTGTCATTGCTCTTCCTTTAATCTTTGTCCTTTTTTTTAATCTCATGTTTTCAAGACTTATGTTCAGTTAAAGCATCTTGGCTGAAAGGAGAAGGCGCAATAAGTGGTGGTGTACTGCAGTGATGTAATTTGTTTCAGATTTATTTGTGCAATGGTATTATTACATTTTTGGTTACAAGGGCTTTTCATGTTTGAACAGCTTGAATTGTAGTCTATGATAATATATTGTATTTTGCATAGAGCTGAGCTCTTTCTATCATTGAAGACAGTGTAATGTTTGCTACGAATGTAAATGCATATTTTTTCAACTTTTATATACCATAGTTATATTTATGAAAAGTGTTGTGGTTGACTTGTATTGCTCATTGTCATTATTATGTTTACATCATCATGCACAAAAAGAAAATATTTAGTAAAAGAGCTGAATGTAACTCAATGTCTGCTGTGCTGTACCATTGTTTCATTCCCACAATTCAATAGGATTCCACCACATCGTAGCTGTAAGGCTGTAACATGGTGATGTTATACATATCATCATATTCCACTGCATACTTGAAGTCTTTAGAACACTGTGTTTACATTAGAGTGTCTTATATGTTTGTTGTGATTTACCATGTGCACTTGAGTCATAGGAATACTACATTAATGTAAATAATGTGATATGTATTCTGATTGCACCTTTACTTAATATTCCTGTAAAGTATCAAAGCCATAGATAAGGGGCCAGGAGTGACATTGTTATTATAAATGTGTACATTATGTTGACACGCACGCAGAAAGATTCTGGTATGTATTTTCTCAATGTTGAATGCAAGTATTTGTAAGGCATAGAAATAAATGTTTTGCACTCAAGGGACACTGAACCATTGGCCATTCTTTGGAACACATGAAGAAATTATACACATTTCACAACTATCTTTATTACTGAGACCCTGCTAAAATCCCAAACTTAACCACATACACTTCATTCATTAATCATGCCAATGAGTGCATTCATAAGCAAAACATATTTATACCAGTATTCTTGTTTTTTAACTCTGGCAATTGAAAGTATTAGATGCTTGGTTGAAGTTTCAAGAAAGTGTAGTTTTTATTCATCTGCATAATGAGATTGCAAACTAGGTGCTTGGAATCTGATCAGATCATCACAGAGAACTTTATATGAAATATTGCTAATGTTTTTTCAGTTATTTGTGCTCACTCGAGCCTGTCTTCTCCAAAACACTTTCCAAGTACTGTAGTGGTGGAACATAAAAATGATTAGTGTCTTACATCCTTTTCTGGTATGGAAATGGTTTTAGAAGACGACGAAGCTGCTTCTCTCTGTCATTCACACACCCTGTAGCAAAGAACAGGTATATATTTGCAGCAATTAGTCATAATGTATTGATTCACATGATGCATTACCATGGTCTTAATTGCATTTTGAATGTGGGGCTTCTGTGTAAAGTTTGCATTAGCAGCATAGTGAGCTTACCTAAGTGTGTGTTGGCAGTGAAACACGAACTGCCAAATGTTTCTAGGTTAACATCCTCTCTATAGACAGGCCCATCGTTCCACATGAGATCATAGCCACCCACCCTTTTCTCCTTGCCACTCAGCCTAATGAGAAAAAAAACACAGTTAATTAGATTGCAGCACCAGTGCAGCAGAAAGAGATAAAAGGAACTCATCTTATCGTCTGATCACCTTGTGATCTAAGGGAAATGGTGGTAGGTTCTGTACATTTGTATGGATTAGTGAAAAGAATCACTAAAGAATGTGAAGTGTGTAA